CCGCCTTTGCACTTCCATCCTCTCCAGTCCAACTTCATCCGGTCAAGCCAGTGGCGGCCACAGAGAATCAATACCGCAACGGCCATCGACTAATTGCCGACGATCCAAATTCTCCAGCGTCAGCAAGTCGGCTTTAGGATGTGCGCCAGCCGAGGCTTCCTGGGAGATTCGCTGCCCACGATCAGCGCCTCTAAGGGCCTCTAAGGGCCCGACTTGGAAGCGTCGTTGTGTGTTAGTTCGTCGAGATCCTTGTCGCCAGCCCAACCAGGATCGATAATCTCTTAGATCCGGCGTCTGAAGCGTTTGCAACCAGTCGAGCGCCGACCTAGCGCCCCCACCCGCGAGTTTCCAAACGGCAGCAGCACCGGGAATCTTGAAAAGGGCGGGCAATAAGGGGTCGGTGTTTGATAGAGCTGGTCCAGTTCGATATACCGCCAGTTCATGCTGCTACTCTATCAAACAAGCCACTGAGAGCGTTTGCCACGTGTTTGCCAGTCTTCTTCCTTTTTGAGTTCAAGCTGCAATCTATGGCTAACACGCCAGCGAGTCATGCCTCTGCTCTCCAACGCAGGAGTCATGGCTGTGGGACCGGGCACCGCCGCACCTATCACCGGCCGGCGGCCGCACGGCACGGCATGGCATCGACGAAAATTTCAACGGGCTCCTTTCCTCTGGTATTACCCAATCTTGTCTTACAGGCAGGCTGTGGCGGCTTCGCGGAGCAAAGGAAACGAAAGTGTCACGAGGCTAGGGGTCTCATTTTAAACACAAACAAGGTTTCATGCTCATGCTCATGCTCATGCTCATGCTCATGCTCGCACTCTAGATGGGGGTCAGTCTGCGACGATACACGATATCTTCTAGTGACGATCAGGCTTGTCTCAGTGCTGCGGCATATCACCGTCTTCCATGTCAGCCTTGTCCAGCATTCTTGCATATCATAATCGCCTACGAATGAGAGCCAGGCATCGGTTCCAAGACGGCCTTTTTGCGGAGACAGTATGTCATTCGCGCGGTCAACCCTCTCTCCCTCTCTCTCAGAATATGGAGTACGAGTATACTTCTGTGGATACGGTCTTGTTAGCTGAGCAGTCCGGGCCCTTACGGCTCCGTCCCTCCGCAGAGCTATTATGCTATTAGATGGCAATGGCTCTAAGTATCAGACTCAGCCCCGTTTGATTCGACGACCATCGCTAAGGCGAAGGAAGACACGTTGTGTCTCGCTGATCGCCTCTGAAGATTATGCTCCTCGACAATCGCTGTTTCGCAACGCTGGTACGCATCAAATTACCCCGGGATTGCAAATCACAAGCACGATTAAGTACCAGGGAGCACGGATACTTTTTCTTTTTCGAGAGCAGCACTCTCCTAGAGTGGTTAACTCGATCCTCGTTTTCTACATAGTCGTCTCTTTGCAGGCTATGCTACGCCCTTTAGAGTTGTAGGCCCGGGTTTTGGAGACAAAAGCGATGCCTTGGTGCCCTAGTGAGAATGACGGCTCGTGATTTGCTAGCGTTTTCTTCTTGTTCTTCACCGGTACATTACGGAGTCCTACAAATGCCGGTTTTGTTCTAGAATATCTGGCGCGCGGCTGGAAACGGTGAACCAATCCGCCTCATTAAGATGCTGACACGATTATATATGTCCGAGAAGGTAGCTTCGGCCAGTTTCTGGACACACGATCCACAGGGAGCAGATATTTTTGGCTGCTACAAAGCAAGTATCGGGACTGCCTCTCGTATTCAGTGCCTCCCCCAAACTCACCCACTCGCCCACCCATCAAATTTCTTTCTAGCGAGGATGAGGGCATCAGAATGGAAGGGCAAGCTACAGTACCCGTGATAGAAAGAGGTCAAAATGCAAAATTGTAAGGTAAAGAACGTCGTCTGTGCTCTCGTATCATCTCCATCCCTGACTCAGGGGTAAAATTCGACATGTCGCCCTGTAAAATGCAAAACTACATCATGGTGGACTGGGCATTTGGGACCGTGAAGCGGCTAAACGGTGTGAAGAATGGGAGAAAAATCCCAGTGTTCAATAGCAGACGTGATAGGCTACATGATTTGGCCCTGAACAGAAAAAATTGAATACTGACAGCGCCGAAGTGAGGCGTTATCTTTTCGTCAGTGTTCAAGGTTCTGTCGATCAGCATTCGTATGCAAGACTGACATATCTTTCCCTTTTCAAGGGCTGGCTCTTCTCGTGTGCCAAGAAAAAAAAAGTGCCGTGAAGCCCGAGGGAATTGATATCCACCCGGGAGACTCTTCCGCTGCTGGTGTCTCGTGGCTTGTGTGTAGAAGTGCCTTTGTCTTGAGAGAATTTTGTGTGTATGCTGGCCGTGTCGAGAAGGTGAAGACGGCATTATTCTGTTGAAGGTTTCCTCTTGACAGCGGCAGAAGATACGTTTTTGGTTGAGCGCTATGAGCTCTTTTAGAGAACTTGTAACGGATTTGCCTGGGCCGAGTGGTTGCAGTTTCTCGATTTGTTTCGTTGATCAGCTGAGCTTTTTGAAGCCACCTGTAGGCATGTGATGATGTGGCCAAGTTGAACTTGGACTTGACTACTTGTTGACCGATGATGTTTAAATGGCTTACTACTAGATACCTAGGTAGCCTTGAAAATAATATCTAGCTACTACTAAGGTATATAGTGTGTGCATTTCTTATGATTGTTGTTTAAATACTTCATTCCCCGAGGGATCTGGCGTATCAACTCTATTCACGGGTAACCCCCCGACCCAAACACCAGAAACTGGCCGCACACAACGTCTTTGAAATAGGTTTAGTCATAGAGTATCTTGTTGTCACAATTAAAAGAAAGTCATGTCTTATTCAAGTCACTTGAAGCTATTACTCCCCACCTTGATAGGACAGATCACTAAAACCAGGCACACGTCGTTACTAAACAGCAAAGCAGTATCGTATTGAGTCTTTCTATAAATCACATTCACATTAGATTCGTATTCCATATACGCATAGCATGGTAAGCCGCAAAGCTGCCATACCCTCGATATCGATGCTGTATACATTGCACGTAACGTAGCTCTACCCGAAACCAGTCGCACCAATATCCCAGCATTGTATAAATATATTCAATGCTCAAAATAAACAAGTACGAGGCAAAACTGCACGGCATCTCCGACATCTCATCAATTCAGCTGCTTGTACGGATACTTGCCCCAGAACTCATCTCTCGCAGACCAACAGTTCATGCCAACCCCTGCGCCTCGTTTACAGCAAAATTCAGCGGAACCGACATGCTCGATTCTACATATCCGCATAGAAGCAATGTATATCAACATGCGAGAAACCACGCTCAACGCTGTTTAATCTTATTTTCTTGCGGCATGATTATTTGCGGGGTTGAGGTCTGTGGTAGTGTTTGTAGGCGATTTTATGCTCATAATTTCGTTCAAAGATGTGGCACTGACGTATAAAATTCTTGAACAGAGTTCCAAGTTGCATTATGTATTCTTCTTACATTACAAACAGATATCTACTACCTTCGAATAGCTCATATACGCCACCTGTGCTCGTATATAGACAGATAGACAGGTAGGTCAATCATTGAGTCCTATACCTGATGCGTATTCACAGAACATACAATTTCCCCATTGAATCGTGACATCGAGGCGAATAATTATCATCATGTCTCCTAATATTGTTCTAGATAGAGAGCGACATCGGGAGAACAGTCCATCTTCCACTCATCAAATGTATAATACTAACGATAATAATCTCAAGATGGCTCCGATTATGCGATATAGATACTTCATCTTGCTATAGGTCATTTTCATATCGAACCTGTTATATGTAAACCATCAGACCATTCCAATTTGCCATCAGACAACTCCCTCAACAATATCTTGAACAACCCGGACAGCTCTTGACCACATGCAATCACATTGTCAGCATCACGGCATCACTCTCCCACATCACCAAATTACAAAAAGCATCAGGTTCATCAACGCATGCGTTCATACATGTAGTCACGTCTTGCACTAAATCACCCCGTTTGGGCTCCCGCCATCGATCCTTCAAGCTTCTCATCCACAAAAATAAGCACGGCAACGTCCACCGATCCTACGACACTTCACCCATCATCTTCGAACAGCTGGCAAAGGCAAAAAAATATGCTCTACGCTGGCCATCTAGCCAAACAACACGTGTTAATTCACTCATGCAAAACGCCGGACCAAATTCTGACCACCTGCGAAGCTACTGGCTCAACATACGAGCAGTAATAAGCCTCACTCATGTACGTCAGCCAGTAATCCGCACCATCTCTGCTGCAAATACATGTATATACGATACGATACGATACGATACAATGTGCGTGTGCGTGTATGTGTGCGCAATCTGCGGCATAAGGCGAGGCTACTATGTAGTAGGCAGCGCTAACACCGTGAGCGTGGAGAATGTTTCGTTCGTCTTTTACCGTCGACTTTTGGCTGGGTTTCATTCTAGGCGGAATGGAAAATGGTGAGTGCTTACTTGCTTTGTGACAGGTCCTCTGTTTTCACGGGCAATGGCTCCATTATGGCATCAATGTGACAGATCGCATCTCGGTTATAAAAACCTCTCATTCTGCCTTTGATAAGCCGCATCAAGCAAACGCCGTTGCGGGATTGCGCGGAGCTCTGTGACATGAAGCAGACAGAATGCATGAATTCAAGGCGCCGTCTTTGGCACTTTGAGCTGAGCAGAGCAAATCTTACCGGGACCAGACCAGGCACACGGCGGTATTGGCAGCTGAGAACAAGCATAGCATGAAACCCTCGCAAGGCCCCTCTCGCGCCGTCATCATCATCATGGATTATTATTATTACCTGCCATCAAGGTAGCAGCAGGAAAAAAAAAAGAGACAAAATGCCCGTCTAAAGCACTCTCGCATGCAGCGCTCATGCATGGCTCAAATGGCACCACATACGAGTCCAGTAGGGTCGCAAAAGCCATCACATGCATTGTCACTATGCGACTTGCGGACATGAGTGCAGAGGCCTAAGCTGCATGCGAATCGTTAGCACCAACAGCCCGAAGCCGAGCATCTGCATATCCCGTGAATAAACGTGATGCGACCTTCTGCGGCCACTCGGAACTAGTCGAAACCACCATGTTGGCCGTGGTGTACCAGTACTTTGCGCCAGCTTCTGCTCCACACTGCCGCTCGACAAAAAGAGAAGCTTGTCTCACCAAGGCTTCGCGAGGTGGAGACTGGGCTCCATAGTCTTGAGCTGACGAGGATCGGTCCGGGTTTGGCTTCACGGGAGCTACTGTAGTCATTTGGTCGAGGGCGAACAAAGGTTATGGAGGATGGATAGAGAGAGACGGAATCGAAGAAACACCATCAAGTTCATCATCCTGTGAAAGCACACATCGTCATCCGGGGGGATCCGATTTTATTCGAGTCCCTCACAAAAGAGAAGAGTGTTGAGAAAGGAAGAGAGAAAAAGAGAAGAAAAGTTGACCTGGTGAGATTGGAATAGGCGGAGAGGCTGGGGAATGAAGAAAGGGACAGAGAGTTTATTTCAACAGCTGGCCTGCCCGACACACAAGGAAGAAAGAAGATGATACTTTGCGCTCACCGCGACAAACACCACAGAGTGAAAACGCAACACGCTCATAAATCGCTCATCTCAAGTAGAGACAGACAAGAAAACGGAAGATATCAGAATAGATGGAAGACGGAGGGGAAGACGGAGAGAAGAGGAAAGAGGAGGATTTTGGAGAGAGAGAGAAAAGGGGTAAAGGGGAAGGGGTATCACTTTTTTTCTGCCTCCGTCTAGAGCTCAAGTTAAATGTGCCTGAGTGTGCAAAAGGCCAACCTAGGGTACGTTTTCCATCTATCCAACCCGAAATTGCTTCACCAAGTCTTGAACATCATGCCCAAACACCAACAGTCCTAAAAGCAGATACGCAAAAAGCAAAACAAAGACTGGACCTATCTGGCAAATCAGCTCAAAAAACCGCCGTCGATAAGGGAGGGAAAAAAAGGAAAGAAAAGAAAAACAAGGCCTCCACAAGAATAAGCTAAACAGGTATAAAAAGAAAGAGAAAAAAGGGTGAAACGAAAAGAAAATTACAACGAGGAGTATTTGAAAGCTTTAGCCATATTCAGTAATGGCATCGCTGTTATCAATCGGCTCATGTTGCTGATAGAAGTGCCTAGGACCACCGTCAGATGCGGCCCGCGACAGCTGGGGCGATCCCTGGCGAGTTGAATATTCTGAATTGTCGCTGGTTATGGGTTTGAAGAAGCCATCCGTCAGAGACATGGTGCTATCACGCCACCAGTAATGCATTACGTCGCACTGCCAGCGCCACATGTCTCGAATCTTGAGAGATCGGCTTGCTTGGAAAGTGGACCGCAGAAGCACGGCGTTGAGCGGAGACAGTCGCAGTTGGTGAAGCAGCCACCGGTTCACATAGTCAGCTTTCTTCCCGCCGTCACATTCTCGCATGAGATTGTCAATGGCATACTCCTTGGACGCCAACCTCTTCTTCACACCCTTCTCGGGATGGTGATTCGGGAGGCGAATGGCTGCTTTGAGAGCTCCCAGGGGGGTGAGTGGCTCATCAGCTAGCACGTGGTCTGGCTGAGACAGTAGTTCATTGAACTCGGCATGGCCCAACGTCTTGCGACTGCTCAGAATTGTCTGCTCGTCGTCCAGATCCAGATCTTCATACTTGATTTGGGGATCCAGTGCGTACTCCATCTTGATGGACATGTGCTTCTTCATGATTCCCCTGCCTTCGCAAATCTCCCTAAGGCGACTTACTTGGGATTCCAGGTTGGCTATTACGCCAACCATCCGCAGCTCTTCGGATGGGAACTCGTCAAAGAATTCCTTCATGTCTAGCTCATCCGGGGTCTTCTGATTGGTCGTCTTTTTCAACAGCTGCTCTTCCTCGTATTGCTCTTTGGTGGAGAGGAGGTCTGCATATTCATCCCGGGCATTCCCCAGATATCCCACCGTTGATGTCAAATCGACATACAAGGGATGTGGGTCTTCGACGGGGCCGAACGGAGATATGCCTCTGAGCTCATACGGTATTTCCACCTGATCAATGTTGAAGTTGGCGGCACCGGAATCGCTCGAGACATCGAGCTGGCGCTCCTCCTTGGTTTGGTCAGCCGCCAAGATGCTAAAGAAGCGTGTTTCGAGGATGCTGAGATCACGCTCTTCCTCATCCAACATGGCCTCGAGCGTCTCATATCTGGATTCCAGAACTTGGTAGTCATCTCTCAACTGCTGCATCTTCTCCAACCGCGCTTCAAAAAGGCTGGATGAGGCCTGAAACGGCTCTCCTCGGCTGATCAGCACAGGCCGCACGACGCTCATGAAGGCATTGTCGGCTGCATCCTTCTCACGCCTCTTTTGCCGCAGCGCCTTTCTCCTGGACCGCATCTCTGCCCTTGTGCCACTTAGTTTAGCTCTCTTCTCTTTCAATTGCTGCCACAGCATTTCTATTTCGCCATGGGAAGAATCATTGGAGTGCAAAGAGCCATCCAGGTGCGACTCGGTGTCAGTGGGATGTAGAACTGCAGAAATGTCACCCAATCTTGATCGAGATCTCGTTGGGCTCCTCGACTTTTCGTATTGTGACACCCATGCCGTGATTTGATTTGCCGCAGAGGATCTGCTCCGGGCGGCAGATGGCCCATAGGACGGGCCAGCGGGCAGCTGGGGAGGGAACTGCCTAGCATTCCGATAGGCGATTGGATCTTCATTAGATGAGGATGAAGAGCTCCAAGCCTCATCATCTTCAAGCCTGGTCAGTGAGAAAGTCAATGCTTCATCTTGTGGGCCATTGCCATTACTCCGCCGATGATAGGACCGTCCCGAGTTCCGTTTACCTCGGGATGGTCGTGGCCGCACGTAATTATTGATTGAAAAACCTGGAGCGGACTGGATCAACTGCTGCGTGCTGGCGGATGCATGAGAGCCTAGGGAAGGTGGTGGTGCGTGATTAATGTCGGCCAGGCCAAGGTCTGGCCTGCTCATCGTCGGAAGGTTGGCAAAGTAAGAGGAGGAAGCAAGAGGAGGAGAGTTGAACGGCGGCGGAGGTGGCGGCGGCGGCGGGTGAGGAGGGACGCCGAGGCGTCGAGCTCTGTGACCATCATCGCCCCTATCCTGCTCGACAAGCAATGGAAACGATGACGATGACTGGGCCATGCCATTACTGCTGGTAGGCAACGGAGGTCGAGAAGGTCCGTATCGAGATGAATCCGCTGGGTTTGGTTGATGGGATCGGGTAGCCTCGTTCGGGCTCCTCGGCATAAGTCGACTCGCTCCCCTCGCTCCGCCACGTCCTCGCCCGCGACCCCGTTCCGGACCTCGCCGGGGAGGAAACGCGGGGGGTAGAAGAGGAAGAGGAGAGAGGGCATTGGAAATCCTGCCGGGAAGAGGCGTCCGACTGCCAGCCGAGGCGAAGGGAGTCAGCGGCGGGCTCGACACGACGGGATCGGGCGTGGTGACCCTGCTGGATATGGTCGACGTGTCGCTATGGAGCCTCCAGCGATCGCTCTCTTTAAAGTCCTCGTCCTCGTGGGATGATGCGGCGGCAGCAAACGTGACGAGTGACACGTCCGCAGAGCCGTCCATGCTGCCGGTGCTGATGGGATCGGCCAGAGACGGATTGCCTGGGCTGGCCGGTGCCTGTACGGCGGCGTCCATGGAGGCGGCTCGAGTATGCTGGCAGTGGCTCAACGCTCAGCATTGCCCATCGCTGATCATCTTTCCGTGTCGATGACATCCAACGTCGGTGAGGCGTGATGGGATGCGAGAGGTCGACGTCGGATCGAGGCCAGACGAGGCTCTGTAGGCTGGACTTGGACCTGGACCTGGACCTAAAGATGACGAGCAGCGGGACCGACGCGGCCCATCTAGCTGCATCCAATGTGTATCTGCGTGCGAGTGAAAATCGGGCGTCCACAGTGGCAAAACACACGTCGCTTCAGACGAACAGGATGAGCCAGCGCTCTCTGGTTTGCGGCCACATATGAGTGAGCAGGCAAGTGTGTCTGTGTCTTGTCGTGAAACTGCGAGAGCAGCGCGGGCCGTTTGTCTGGCGTGGAGAGCTCAAGTTGGCTCAGCGTATTGATCCATCTGACGGGCAGCGAATAGCGCCAGCCAGAGCATATGTAGAGCATGGCCCAGGGCGCCAGCGGTTGGTCGAAGCCCCTGTGGCAGCAGGTGCTAGCACTGTCGTCGACGCCTCCCCGGCGCGCTAGCAGCGCTGCAGCGTCTTAAGCGTCACCCACAGCGTAGCAGCAGCCCGCTAACCCGCTAGCCCTACAGAGCTTGAGGGCGTCGGCGAGCACAGTCCGGCCACTAGACAGTGGGCTAGCAGCGCTGAAGCTCCACCGCACGCGGGTGCGCCAGGTGGAGGGCGGGGCTTAGCTGCCTACCTAGGTGCCGTCCCTAGCGGCCACGGTCTGTCTGTGCCATCCCTAACCGGGCATGTCACTCTACCTCGACATCATCACCATCGACCATCGACCCGCATGGCAAAAGCGACTAGTCTTTGCCTCTGCATCTGCGAGGATATACGAGCAAAACACCTGGCCGTCGCTCAGTGCTGGGGCTCCTGCGGCCGAGCCACCTGACAGGGCCTTGGACCGAAGGGCTGCAGGCCAAGGTGCATGGCGGAGATGGGCGATCCCCAGCATTGAGTGCTTTGCGTCCTATTGAGTAGGTGCCGTCATTGTCTGCTGGGTTTTGTGACGAGCTGACTTGACTGGCCGCTGTCTGTCTCATCGTGTCTCAGCATGCAGGTGTACGAGTAGCCAAGCAACGCAACACAGTAGCCAAGCTGACACCCGGCGTTGGCTTGGCAATAGCTGGGGCGAAAACACAGCTCATGGCAATGCAGTCAACATTGAAGAGATGGAGCTCAGCGAAAAACCGCACAAAGCCGCACACCACCTCCGAATCGGGGCCGCCTCCACGGGCCTCAGAGATCGTCCCATAGCGCAATGCGATGCGACTGCTGGCCAACGTCAGGATGCATTTTGCGCGCAGAAAAGCTGCCCATTAGCCGGAGCGACCCTTGTCTGCGCCGTCGACCTTCTCTCTGGCCTTGCGAGTATACAGGGACGCCACGCCATGGCATGGCCATTGACTTGATCTGCCCAGCAGCGGCGGCGGCAGCTCGAGGTAGCTAAACAAGCGCCCAGCGATGCATGCCAGATGTCTCCATAATCCTATCCGCCAGCGCCGCAGCTTGCTTTCCATGCTAGCAGCTCGCAGCAATCCACTCAACCTTGCGGCACCACCCAATACAAGCATACCAACAGGCCCGGGGAGCACTCGGGCCAGGAAGCAAGTGGACGACCCACGGAGGCTCGCGCCAATCTGGGCCATAGGAACAGGCCCAAACGTTCCCCTCCCGCCCGTCGCTGTTTATCATCTCGCGCTGGTGCTGGTGCTGGAGCTGGAGCTGGTTGCTTTTTTGCTTCTTCTGCGTCTGCCGCCGCTTGCAATCATTCTCTTAAAAGGCCTTGGAATCCGCATTGTGCCCGGCCTGCAACCCGTCCCCTCCGTCCGCCCGCCTGCCTCGACCAGAGGTGCTTTGCGCCTGTGCCGTGCTCAGCTCAGCTCAGACCATTCGGGCTTCCCCGGTCCTTTGCGCCGTCCAGCACAAAGCGCCGGATGATCTTGTAGCTTTCCCGCGCTGCTCTGGGCGCAAAATGCCACAATGTACCACGGGTCCAAGTCAAAATCCCATCAATGGGGCAGCTGGTCCGACTGGGTTTTGGATGAGCAGCACCACCGCTACTATCGTTTTCGCCAGGATTCCGAAGGTGTGAAAAGACTCTCCCCGCGCTTGACGTTTCTCATCACCGCCAACACTTGTGTGATACTTGCTAGGGAATTACGACTATGACTGGGACCAGCACGACTCGGCCGCGGCCGCTCATGCGCAAACTCCGCGAGACACAACGATCAACGACATAACCGAGGGCCTCAAAGGCCTCACCACCGACTATGACGGCTCGAGTGCGTTTTATCCACCCACCTACCAAGTCGCACTGGTTGCGCCGTGACGAGCTCATGAGAGCTTGTGTGGCGGGCCACGATCGGCATGCCTATATGTGATAATTGGGTGACTGACGTGGGAGTGCGTTTACAGTATCCGAAGATCATTTGTCAAACTCGAAATCCGGCAGGCCCAAGAGCAAGCATAGGCATCGCACAGGCTCCCACGACGAGGACTCGGCACAAGGCGCCTACAGAACCTCGACGGCGGAATCGTTGCATGTGTCCCAGGCGGGGCAGTACGATTACATGGCGAGTCAATGTAAGTTGCTGCTGCTGCACCGGTCATGTCCCAGTCATTCACAGTATATCTCATAACCAGACGTCCACGGATCATCCGAAGCGCAGTACTACCAGCCGTCGACATCAGGTATATAACCAATGGCCAATATCCCACAGCCGTCGGGGATTGACTGACTGACAAGATTTCGTTGGCGGGGTAGACTCCCAATCGGCTCCCGTGTACGGCGGAAGAGAAGACCGATCAGCTGAGAATCACGCAGCTGGTGAGTGCGCCCACAAATGCTCTATCTCGACCCCTCGTCCTGGAGTCCTTTATTTTTAATTTTCCTGATTTTTTTTTTTGCGTCAATTTATTCCAATTATTTCCCAGTAGTTGCATTTCCCGAGTTCAATGCTGAAACTTGTACCCAGACCGACCACTACATGGGTACGACGAGCGGAACCATTACGGCGAGCGAAAGCACAGCCCTGACCAAGATCACGAAGACGACGAGCTGGCAAACACTATAGCGGAAAGCCAAGACTACAATGCATACGCATATGCGAATGCTGGAGAGTCATCAGCATCGGCTTATGGTATGATGCTCTTTGGTCATTTTTTATACAACGCTGGAGCTAACGTGATGTGTAGCTCAATACGATGATGACGAAGACGAAGGTCCGCCTACGCCAAAGGCTCAGTCAGGAGCAGGCAGCTATCACATTGCGGCACTCGAGGAGCCACTGGAAGAGCTAGATCCACGTAGGCCCTTGTAATCATTCCTGCATGGCACGCGCCAGTAGAGCTGATGCTTGAGACTAGGTTATCGAGTTGAGCCGTCCAGCAAGTTTCAACCAGGCGAGGTGTGTACTACAACCATGCCCCTGCCCTGACGTCTGGTGGTAGAATGAGTCTGCTAACAGCAATGCTGGGAAGATATTCAAAGTCCATTGGTCGGAGCCGCAAGGCGCCAGCTCCGAAGGAGCTCCAAGCGTGTCCGGTAAACATGAAATCCAGAACCGGTTTGGAACAAAGTTTTTTGTCGGTTTCCGGCGCTTCATCGTGATAGCAAACGACCAGGGCCACTGCACCTGCGTGTATGTTTATTCCTAGCCCCCTCCCTCGTCGAGTGGTCATTCCAACGGTTAACTAACGGTCAACAGCCCTATTCTGACGTACGGCGGCAAAGCCTGCAAAAAGAAAGGCGTCAAGGCTGACAAACATGGCATCATTCATGAGCGCGGCAGCAAGCCACGACTACTCGATAAGGAGCCAAAGCTAGGCTTCCCCCCCGTTCGGGTCGAGATGAAGGAAGAGGGCGAGAAGCTCTCAAAGGAATCCCGCGTCAACTATTCCAAGCTGGTCACGGTCGAACACAACGTCAAGGTGTTTTTCATCGGATCAATTGTGTACAATGACTGGGATCTTGTTAGCGATGCCGTAAACCACTGCTGGAACAAAAAGAACCATCAGAAGCAGAGGCATCGATAAGACCCCCGGGGAAAAGCTGATGGCTGGCACAGACACGTTTTTATCATCTCAAGCGGTTGCGCACACCTCGAGCGCACCGCATTCGATGGAGCAGCCTTGCCCAATGGCAGTGCACCCATCCACAAAATACGTTCCTCGGAAATAGATATCCCACGATGTCACAAGATTCCTGCGAAACCTGTGCCTGGCAATCTTGAGCTGGAAATATATACAGCATGGGTATCCCCCCGGCATCTCGAGATGCCTTTATATATATATATATAAGCACAGCATTACGGCCACAGCCGGCAAGCATCTTTTTTTATTTTTCTTCGGCGTCTCGTTGCTTTGCAGTGCCTAGTCAGTTTTCTGTTCAAAACTGTGAAAGGTGAAGACTTGACTGGAAGCATAGAGCTTTAGCCGCGCTTACGGGGGTAGATTGCATTCGCTTGCTTTGGCCCATGTGGTGGAAACAGGACACACACATTTATTGCTCGACTAGCCGGGCCGGCTGGATATCATCAGGATGCATGATTTCTCCTTAATATTCTTATACATTGGGTATATTGACATGTTTTCATGTGTCCCCCTTTTTTTTCTCTTCACAGGCATATATTTTGATGTACAGTCTCAATGCATATTTGTCGAAAGCTTGATGTTGCTGCTGAGTGCTTTGGAGGAGATGATGTATTTAAACTGCTACTTGACTTGAGTCGGATTATGAGATACCAAATCGTTGCTATAGCATGGCCCTTTTCCCAATTGCAAGTGTTGAAATGGCGAGACTACATGTGGTGCATTGTGACACAGCTGGAGAGGAACTTGCCATCCAAGGTTGCCATCCAACCTTGTAAGCTAGACCAGAGTTGAAGGAGGATCGGCGCGTCAGCTCAGGAACCAACGGAGAATAAAATGATAGCAACATTCCTTCTAGAAAGCTGCCTCTTGTATGCAGAAATGAATAGTAGTAATAGTAGAGCTTTGTTGGCTTGCACTTTCAGCAGCGTCGGATTCATTCCACTAGAACTCATCATCACTATACATGTAGCTCAATGAATAGGTGGTAATAATCCCAGGGTTGCTTTTAAAGAATGAATGTACATATTATTGAAAGCTTATAGTAGCCATTTATAGATGTAGCACAGAGTATTTCCAGCCATATCTCTATTAATAGCCCTATGCACCACCTCCCTCATCCGCTGAGCCCTCGCGCGCGTTTCCAAGACATTGACTTGTTCCCACCTCTTCCCAGTCGAGCAATCTCTCTCTCGCCAAAACAACTCCAACCCTCAAGTCAATCCTTCATAAACATCTCCCGCACATTCATCACCAACCAAAAAGAAAAGAAAAAAAAGCATACCGCCATCAAAGATTAGTCGTCGGTAGTGCCAGATCTAAAATACCCCAGAAAAAAAAAGAAGCGGAAAAGGGATATGTAAGCCTCTTCCCCGGGCCGTCTCTTTGCCTGTGCCTCGGCATCTTTCCCCCGCAATTACTCGGGCGCCACAAGTACCTCTTCTGCGAAAATTCGCGGCGACGGTACCTTGTGCCCTATCTATCTTCTTTTCTTTGATTCCAAGCCGTCGGTCCACTTCCCATCTACACCGAGGATCTAGGGACAAGGGGGGGGCAACACCTCATTCGACGTTCTTTGCAGTGGCCATTGTACTGTACGGGGGAAAGATAAAACCCTCCGCTTTTTTCTTTCTTTGAAATTCTTCGTTTTGGGAATTGTATAATCTTGTTTGCTTCTTTTTTTGCTTCCTTTACGTGGGATATACACTTTTCGGTTTGATCAATTGCATCGCTTTTTCTTTTCCGATTACGCGTCAAAACTTGAAGAAACCACATCAACCATCCCATCTGCCACAATGTCTGCCGCCGTCGAGGCCACTCTGGAGGACTTCCCTTCGCTCTTCTCGCTCAAGGGCAAGGTCGCCGTCGTAACGGGCGGCTCTCGCGGCCTCGGCCTGCACGCAGCATCAGCGTGAGAAAAACTCCATTGTCTCCCATCTATATAGCAAAGCCGCCGCCAAAAAAAAACCCCCCCCCCCAGGCTAACCCGCTTCCTCCTCCGCGAAACAGCTTCATGCAGGCCGGCTGCTCCAAGGTCTTCATCTCGTCCCGCAAGGCCGCCGCCTGCGAAGAGGCATGCAAGGTGCTCAACGCGCTGCCCGGCCGCGCCGCCTCCGCCACGGCCATCTCGGTGCCCGCCGACTCGGCCACCATGGCCGGCGTCAACAGCCTGCTGGCCGAGGTCAGCAAGCACACCGACCACGTCGACATCCTGTTTGCCAACGCGGGCGCGACCTGGGGCGAGGCCTTTGACACGCACCCGGACGAGGCGTTCGCCAAGGTCATGGACCTCAACGTCAAGGCCGTCTTCAACACGGTCCGCGTCTTCACCCCGCTGCTGCAGAAGCAGGCCTCGCTCGACGACCCCAGCCGCGTGCTCATCACCTCCAGCGTCGCCGGCTTGGGCGTCGGCACCCTCGGCGAGCAGGGCACCTACGGCTACTCGGCCAGCAAGGCCGCCGTGCTGCACCTGGGCCGCAACCTGGCGCTCGAGCTGGGCCCGCGCGGCATCACCGTCAACTCCATCTGCCCGGGCTTCTTCCCCAGCAAGATGGCCAACGGCCTGCTGGCGCTGTCGGGCGGCGCCGACAAGATTGCCCAGGCGAACCCCATGCGCCGCCTGGGACGGCCGGAGGACATTGCGGGCATCGTGGTGTACTTGACGAGCCGGGCTGGGTCGCACGTAAACGGCGAGGCCATTGCCATTGACGGTGGTGCTTTGTGGTCTCGTGGAGAGCTGATGGTTGAAGAGCAGGCAAAACTGTAATTGAAATTGCTGGGGCTTGAGAGGACTAGCAAGAGAAAGAGTATGGAACACGCATGCATTGGGGATATCCAGAAACTTGTATCATAATAATGGCTGTACATAGTGCCGCATGAGTACCGCATCGGACCGGGTACGCAAATTCACCGTCTTTTTTTTTCTTTCTAATTTTCATTCTTTTCCCCCGTATACTACGAATCCGATGTTGGTGCACATTATACGGCATTTGTAATTCATTTGTTTCCTCTATTTGTCATGTCTCGTCTGTCTTCTTGACATCGCTTGTTTCCTTCTCCTCCTCTGTCTTCTTCGTATCGCCAGTTTCTTTTTCCAACGGCTTGCGAGCCACCCACGTCGTCACATTGTACACCGTCTGCAGCATGCTCTCCGCATCCTGAATGTACGGCGCTCTGAGGCCCATCTCCATCGACTCTACCACAAACCCCAGCTTCTCCACCAGCGCCATAACCTCGTCGTTGCTCAGCTCAAAGCTCCCCGGATCGGCAATGCCAGACGAGTTGTTAAAATCGTGCTCGCCATCACCGTCGTCGTCGTGCCCGTGGTTGCCCGGCGCGTTGTTTTCAAAGTGCCACAGTAGGGGCCCGACGTTGATGAGGACGCCGCCGGGGCGGAGGCAGTGGTAGATGACCTCGAGGTATCGAATAAGATTGGGCGCTGTGTCGAGGAAGAAGACGCTAGCGACGGCGTCGTAGGAGGCCTCGTGGTCTTCGTCGCCGTATAGACACAGGAAGTCGGCGGCGCACATGGACATGGAGCCTAGGTTGGGGGCGTTGAGCAGGACGGTGCCGGGATGGATGTCGGGCACGGCGTAGCTGCGGAGGTGGTTCTCTCGAGTTTGGTGGTTGGAGAATGTATGTATCCAAGGGTAGATGGTGTGCTCTCCCGCTTTTGTGCATTCGTTGAGAATGTACGAAGATGCCAGCAGCTGGTGGTAGGATATCTCATTTCCTTCAGCCTCATAGCCATCCCGGCACAGTTCAAACACCAGTCGTCCCAAGCCCGCGCCGGGAACCAGGACTTTCAAACGCCTGCCCTCGGACGCCTTGGTCTCTTTTTCAAGAGCCTTCATCACGGGACCGTATGAAGCGGTCCTTTCCTCTTCGCCGGCTGCAGTCCAGTCGCGATAGAACTGGCGGAGAGTGCTTCTCGCCTTGTCTATGTCTGCATGTTTGGCCACTCCAGCCCACTCATGCGGCATAACCGGCGGGTCAGACTCTGATGCGCTGGGAGGGAGGGCATTAAACGAAGTCAATCCTGACTTGAGGATGGCCCGAGCCAGAACGGCGTTGGTGTCAATCGCCTCATCGACCTTGTCCAGGGTGTCGAGGAAGTTGAAGGGAGGCGCGGCAAGGAGCTTCCAGTGAGCCTGGGGGAGGGCATAGAAGGACCGGCGGCGAAGATGAGTGACGTTGAAGTGGGCGACTTTGGCGTATTGTCTGGATAAGGTGTCAGGCCATGCATGATTCTTTCTTTACATGAGGAGGAGTGAGTTATGTTGAGCGATGTGACATTGCAATGAGGATGAATGTGTCGTATGAGGTGAAGTGCAGCTTATCAACAAAGACCCCAATATACCCTGCCCGTCTTAACAGTAATGAAGCAATCCAGAGAGGTAAACCAAAAGACAAGCAGCTCCATGTTACTCACGCAAACGAATCCAGCGCGCAAAAGATGACCCGAATCTCTTCAGGGTCGTCCATGCCGCCATCCACACTGGCCCATGCGCTCTCCTCGGCCACAGCCAAAGTAGCCCCGCCGTCGTGATCCATCTCAGCCTGCTTCAACGGCGATGTCCTGCGATCATGGTGGTGAGAAGGAGGTTTGGTTGAGAGAGATGCGCAACAAGGTAAAAGGTCTATCAAACAAGCTTTCTATTTCTGCTTTTACTTTTTTCCCGGCCCGCCGCAATCGGGTGTTTTTCTGGAGCCCTTTTGAATTTGTAACCGAGTTGCTTAGTGGGGGAATATGGTTTGGGTGGTGTTATCTTTTTTTTTTTAGCAGCGCTAGTCATGGTGAGAGCTCTGGTTCACTCTCACCAAATGTGAATCATGTGATTTCAGTCCTTCTCATCGCTGCTACTGACTGGAGATACCAGATGCTTCACTCCTCAGTTTCGGAGATAATATTCCATCTGCACAATACTCAATACTCATCATGGCCACCGATTCAAACAGACTAACTCAGGCCTCCATTCCGCTGCCGCGGTCTTTGGATACCCGCATTTTCATCCGCATCACAACCCAGGCCAAGGCCATTCTGCTGTCCTTAACAACGGTGTCTCAGGAAGATGCTGCTGCCCCCAGGCCGATGGGCTCATTTGTCTACGCGCTCCCCGATGTACGTCTTGAATATCCATATCGTATATGACGGCTCGGGAGACGTATCAACTAACGCCAATACCAGAGATTCAATCATCAGCAGGCAATCGCCACTACACTCTTCTCCGCAGAGTCATCCCTAGAGTTTACTACACGAGTGGCAAAGCTGGTCGCCCGAAAGACTGGGCTCCCAGTCTATGTGACAAATTCCATCAGCTTAGAGAGCATGGGGATGGGCGGCACAGTCGAGGAGGAAATGGAGGCTTTCAAGAGCGTGGCCGAGGCAATCTTGAGCCTCCTCCCCAAGACAGCGCTCCCAAGCTAGCGAGCGGCAGCCCCTGGTGTGTAGATGATAACCTAGTTTACGAAGCAATTCATGGTCGTGACGGAGCAGGGCCTCACGTGCTTGCATGCCTATCCATGACGGGAGGCATGATCTGCTTTGCCTGTCAAGGGGAGATGTGCTAATCTTGCAGCAAGCTGCACCCTCGCTGACTGGCTCGAGAAGCCTTCCAGAAAGAAGGGATCTGCGACAGCACATTAACTAGGCCATATTCGTGAGAGCATCAGTCTAGTCTGTTGGGCGAGTCACATCTGAAATAATATTTCACCCAAGAGTCACTGCTCTCGGCCAGTTCTCGTTGAGCCTTGTTCTCTAAGAAGAAGAAGAAAAGGATTATATAAATATTAGATGGCCTTGGATGGGAAATAACGGGCATAGAAATATTCAGTCATGAGATGGAGTCTTTCATGTTACATCAAAGACATGATTCTTGCACCATGAGATCAGGCCTCGTGGTGAGGGGGAGAGCCTGTAAGGTACGAGTGCTATCACAATAGCGGCAGGTCGCTAATAAACAGCACGAGTTTAACAATGCTGCTGCCCGGCGTCTGATTGATCGAATGGATTCCATTAGCATGTGAGCTACCCCTCTGTCACGGAGATGCCGGTACGGCCGCCACAAATACCGACATTGCCTGCAATCTGCTTCAATCAAATCTTTTGTTGAGTACTCGTACGAGCAAGTACCTACTACTATACTACCTGTACTAATTGTCACAGAGGATAAAGAAATACAAAGGTAAGCGCTGGCCAGCCACCTCTTTTTTTTCCCACCGTGTGTAACGGGTACTTGCTGTGATGGCGCGTCGGGTAGCACTGGAGCCCTTGGGGTGGTATCAAGACACACTGGCTACAAGCTTGTTTGAAAGGATTGATCCATTGATGCCTCCAAGTTGTCTCTAATTTTAGAGGCTATCCACCTCTATCTAGGTAGATAGAGGTGGCGATTGTAGGATAGAGAAAATCTAGATGGACGATAATAGGAAATACCTATTGATTGCTGTTACTGATCCATACATTTCCATGTCAGATACCCGTGAACTCACAGGTACGATACAGGTACATTCTACCAAGCCGGAACCACCCCGATTGTTCTGCTTCACCACAGTCACCTGACTTTTGCAGTGCACATGCACACTGTCAGTGGTTTAGCAGCGCGCTAACAGTGCAGACAGAGCATTAGTATTGACTCCATACATGCATGTACCAGACGATTGATTTTTTTTCTCCCCTAAAATTTTGCCCATCAAGTCCCTCCTATTCCCGTTTCGCCTCGCCCATTGCCCACGGGTTATCGTTATCGCACCCCGCTACGAAATTTGGCCGCCAAAAAACAGGTGGGTTTTGCTCCCCGCCAAATCAAACCAAACCGCTCGAGGGCGCACAAGGTTTGGCGCATCGTCTCTCTTTCGACCACGAGGACAATCAGCTCAGTTTGCTTGCTGCAAACATTCGAGCCTCCGCAACGACCTCGAACGCCTGGCTTTCCGGGCTTTCGATCCCCAGCGTCAGAGCCGACACCCTCGTGCTGTCTCGGCCAACGCCTTGAATCCTCGGACCCGCCTCCAAAAACCCTCCCAACGGTCACCAAGTTCCTCGACATCAGGGGTCCTTTTGTGCCGGCTCCTTGCTCTTGTCTTGTACGCCCTGCTGCCACGCCATGGGAAGCCCATGTGGGATGCTAATTCGCCTTGCCTCTGCAAAGTCTATAGCTGCCGCTTCATGTCCTAGAGCATCTCCAATCAGCAAGCCCGCACCCAAGCGCATCGCATTGCTCCTCTAGCGCGCAGCGAACTGCTGCCACCACCACCGCCCATCATGTCGTGGCAACCGGCCCCAGAGTCGTTGAGCCAGCTTGCGGCATGTCTCAAAGACTCCCTCAGCGGCTTTGACAAGACCGCCCAGAAGCAGGCTGAGCAGGTCAGTGTCAACCCAGAGACGGGCTTGCTTGATCGAATGCTGACCGAGTCTTGAGCAAGTAGATGCTTCAGCAAGCCAAAAACTCACCTGATATCAACAATTATCTAGCTTACATCCTCTCCAGCCCCCAGACGCCCGAGGGCCTGCAGTGCAGCGAACAAGACTACCATCTTGTCCGATCAGCTGCGGGCATCATGCTCAAGAACAACGTCAAGGCCGACTGGAAATCAATCCCGGAATCGAGCCTGCAGCTCGTCAAGCTCGCCGTGCCCATGAGCTTGCAAGATAAGAACTCTCAGATTCGGAATTTCGGCGGAAACATTGCTACTGAAGTCATCAAGAAGGGCGGTTTGATGGGATGGCCCGAGTTGCTCCCTCAGCTCCTCGAAATGGTTGGAAACTCCAATGGCCAATTCTCCAACGAGGCTCAGGAGGGTGCCATGTCTGCCCTGTCCAAAATCTGCGAGGACAACTTCAAGATGCTGACCAAGGAGGTCAATGGCCAACGACCACTAAACTATGTTCTTCCAAAGCTCGTTGCCGCGACCAAGAGCCCCCTCCCGAAAGTACGTGTGGGGGCACTGACGGCCATCAACGTCTTCACCCCGAGGGCGTCACAGGCCATGGTAAACAGCATCGATGACCTGCTGCAGCATCTTTTTGTCCTGTCAGGGGACGAGAACACCGATGTGCGCCGGCAGGTGTGCAGAGCCTTTGTCCACCTGGTCGAGACGAGACCGGACAAGCTACAGCCGCATCTGGGTGGCTTGGTAGACTATCTCGTTACCCAGCAAAAGGACGAGGACGAGGACCTTGCCTGCGAGGCCGCCGAGTTCTGGCTGGCCATTGGCGAGCACGATGACCTCTGGGCCGGCCTGCGGCCGTATCTCAACAAAATCATTCCCGTCTTGCTGCACTGCATGGTATACAGCGGAGAAGACATTGCCCTTCTCGGCGGGCTTTCGGATGACGAGGATGAAGAGGACCGAGAGGAGGATATCCGGCCAGCCTTTGCCAAGAAGTCTCAAGCCAGGACTGCAAACGGAGAAGGCAATCTTTCGGCTGACCCCAACCAGAACGGCGGTGCCTACGAGAAGCTTGGCCGCATGGATGAAGGGCTGGAGGAAGGCGAAGTTGATGACCTCGATGAGGATGGCGATGACGCGAATCCCGACGAGAGGTGGACTGTCAGGAAGTGCTCGGCGGCTGCACTCGATGTTTTCGCCCGCGACTTTGGCGGACCCGTCTTCGAAGCCATCTTCCCCTATCTCTCCCAGAACCTTAAGCATGAAGAGTGGCCTCACCGAGAGGCTGCAGTCCTGGCTCTCGGCGCGGTGGCTGACGGCTGCATGGATACCGTCACACCTCACCTCCCCGAACTGGTGCCATACTTGATCTCTCTTCTCGAGGATCAGGAGCCGGTCGTTAGGCAAATCACTTGCTGGGCCCTGGGAAGATACTCCTCCTGGGCGGCTAACCTTGCTGAGCAGTCTCAGCGGGAGCAGTTTTTCCTTCCCATGATGGACGGCATCCTTCGCAAGATGTTGGACAAGAACAAAAAGGTCCAAGAGGCGGGTGCTTCGGCGTTTGCGAATCTGGAGGAGAAGGCTGGAAAGAAATTGGAGCCATACTGCGGACCCATCATCCAACAATTCGTCCAGTGCTTCGCCAAATACAAGGATCGCAACATGTACATTCTCTACGACTGTGTTCAGACACTGGCCGAACGCCTAGGCCCTTTCATTGCCCGGCCTGAGCTGGTCAACCAGCTGATGCCAGCGCTGATTACGAGATACAATGCCGTCTCGGACCAGTCTCGCGAGCTATTCCCGCTTCTCGAGTGTCTGTCTTACGTTGCTTTGGCCCTTGGTCAATCGTTTACCCCATATGCGCCCACGATTTTCTTGCGCTGCATCAACATCATCCACACAAACCTCGAGCAGGGCATTAACGCAACCACCAACCACGCCATAGACCAGCCCGATAAGGATTTCCTCATCACCAGCCTTGACCTTTTGAGCGCCATTATTCAAGCGCTCGAGGACGACAAGTCAGCCGAGCTCGTAAAGACCTCTCCGCACCCCTTCTTTGAGCTCCTTGGTTTCTGCATGGAGGACCCTACGGATGAGGTGCGGCAATCTGCGTATGCACTGCTGGGCGACTGCGCCAAGTATGTCTTCGCAGAGCTTCAGCAGTACATTCCAACCGTTCTGCCAATCTTGTTGAAGCAGCTCGACATGGATAGCATCCTTGATGAGGAAATCGAGAGCGGATTTGGTGTCATTAACAATGCCTGCTGGTCGGCTGGCGAGATTAGCATGCAGCACCTCAAGGGTATGCAGCCTTGGGTGCCAGAGCTCCTCCAACGCTTCGTTGAGATAATGTCCAACCCCGGCGTGCCAAAGGGACTTGTTGAGAATGCCGCAATTGCCCTCGGACGTCTGGGCCTTGGCAATGCAGAGCAGTTGGCGCCGGCACTTCCAAAGTTCGCCGAAGAGTTCCTGGCTGCCATGCAGGAAGTTGATCCTACCGAGGAGAAGGCCACTGCCTTTAAGGGATTCACCTTGGTTGTCGGGCAGAACCCACAGGCTCTGGAGAAGGTCTTGCTGGAGTTTTTCGTCGCCATTGCTCGTTATCAAGATATGAACTTGAGGAACCCAATCAAGCAAGAGCTACATGAAGTGTTCCGAAATGTAAGAATACCCCCGATCGTCTTTCCCACGCCCTTTACTTGTCTGTCTTTGAGAGAGTATCACAGTTCTAATCATCATACGCAGGTTCTCAACGTCTACAAGCAAATCATCCCGACGTTTGACGATTTCATCAACCAATTGCAGCCACAAGATCAGCAGGCCCTGAAGACGCTCTACGCGATATGAGAGCGGCAAGCGGAGTTGGTTGGGGAAGCGCACAGTCGTAGCTGGAGAGTACGGAAAGAAAAATGAAAGTTGGCGCTGGACGCAGGAAACGTCGGGACGGCCTTGAGATACTGTTATCTCTGACAAAGTCTGATATGCAGAGGTCATGTGTAGCCCTGAGGCTTAGTGGGAGGAATGTAATGGGGCTGTTTAAAAAAAAGAAAGAAAGAAAAGAAAGACCCTCATAGCGATACTTTTGTTGCTGCCCGTCGACTCCATGGAAAGAAAAAAAAGGGGGGAGTACGTATGATTGGATTTGACTCGCTCACCGAGGGGCATTCAGGGGGTGACGAGGGAGGGAGAAAGTGCCCGCAGAGCAAAGATGAGAGATACCTTGGAACGAAGTGACGATGGGGAAAAGAGAGAGAAAAGAAGAAGAGAGAAAAGCTTTCAAAATCTGCATGGCGGAGGACAATACGGGAAACAGGTGTCATGATGTCTATTTTTTATTAACTTTTTTTGGGGGAGAAGAGGGTGCCATGGATGGGGGCTGCAAAACCCATAACCTTTTATAGATAGATATTTTCTCTTTTTCTTATTTTTGAAAGCTCTCTCGGCCATGTCTGCATATACAGAGTGGCGAGAGGGAGAGAGACGCCGTGTATTGCGTTGCCAGTGGCTTCCCATAGTAGTTAGTAGTTTAGAATCAAGAACAAACACGATGTTTTTATTATCATCTAGATGGTTACAATATACCTTTTTCTAGATCTAGCATTGTTTCTGTCGTGGTTGTTTTTTTACGCAGTTTCTTTCTCTGGTATCTGAAGCTTCATCCATCCGTCTATCCGTAGCTCAATCCAATGTATATAAGTGAGTGTCTTGATTCAATAGCTCTTTATTGTATATCCCTGGAATGCTGAATAGCAACTGTCATGGTTCAAATCTAGTTAACAAACCCATTTTCGCCTGTTTCCATTGTGAGTAAGATACATCTAGGCATTCTACTTGATAGATACATAAAGATGAATCACACAACTACTCATCTTTCTTTGGACTCTTGCGTCTCATAGAGCCAGAATCAAAGTCATGCATAGGATAAAATATCCGCCGGGGCAGAAATAGTCCACCCCCCTTGATTGATCCATCTCCTTTGATTGGACTTGTAACCCTATTCTCCTCTCGTATAGCTACAGTAGAATCCTTTCCATCCTCATCCCCACACCATGAGAAACTTATATACTCAGGTTCCTCATTCATCATCCCCAAACTAAACAAAAACTACAAAGATATACAAACTCTTTCCCCCTTCCATCCATCAAGCCAACACCAACCTCACTCCTTCAACAACAAAACACCCTCCAACCTCCATCCTCATTCTAACTATTCCAAAACTCTCCTCCACTTGACCTAAACATCATCCAAAACACTCCCTTCGTTCATATCCTATCCCCTCCCCATAACCGATCCAAATCCGCAATCCATCACCAACAACACTTTGCACATCATCAGCTTTACAACTTGATCCGTCATCTCAGTCACCAATACCATCCATGTCTTCTCTGATTGCTCTCTTACAAGAAACCGGGCTTGATTAGCCCTGACAATAACCAATAGGTTATACATCATGTTATAAGCATCAACTCATCGAATACACACCGATACGCCCACCACGTCGCAGATCATTGCTACAAACGAAGTCATTCTTCAACCGATGCCATCAGCATTCACCAGGTATATTCTTAATCCACAAAGGGAGCGAACCATCGACAACTCGGGAACCTAACAACAAAGCAAGCCAACAGCCATCATCATAAGCAACACACCCAACTACCAGCAACGCAAGCAACGCAATACACTACAACCACGATACTGTATCCCATTCCCGCACCATCTCCTCCAAAAAGCCCACGGCAACTTCCGTCAGCGCAACACCCAATTCACCATCCAAATCTGACCAAAGGACACCTCATCAGACCTCCCTTATCAACAACCTAATCCGCTTTAGAAGTTTGAGTTGTCCCGAAAAAAAAAAGGAGAAGATGAAAAAAAAAGCATCACGCACATAATCTCTCAGGAGCCTGTCATCCTAAACTTTTTCTCTTCCATCCCCTTCCCCTGGCTCATCACACGGGAAGGGGGTTGAAGAAAAACCTTGTCCTGCCCCGTACCTGTAAGCAGCATTCCAAATCTTCTTACCCATCTCCTTGCACTCCGTCTCAGAAAAAATGTATCACATCATGCAAAGAGATACCGGGTTACCTCGGTTGCCAAGAAAAGATGCCGGTAAACAAAGCAATTGGGGCAAAAATAAAAATACAAATACAAATCAGAAAGCAGCGAAAAGAAAGAAGAACAAGACAGAAAGAAGAAAATGGCCCGTTCTTGAATCGCGCTGCAGCTGACAGCTACGCTTACAACAAGACCCAACCCTCCCGCGGAAAGCCTATCCCCCATCACCATATCATATCTATAACTTCCGAGCGAACCGCAGAAAAGCCACTTGCTGCTCACTGATTATCATCCAGTGGGCGCAACTAGGCGAAGCTGAAAGCGAAGAAAACCAAGTGCCTGTTTTTGCCCCTTGGCGCTGTCAACCACAACGAGCCTATTCCAAGTACCGAGTCAGACATGGCTCGAGATCCGGTATTTGATAGTGTAGATGACTAGCCCGTTGCCTCTTTTCGTATCTTGCCGCCCTAGTTGGGGGGGTTGCAAACGAAAACGAAATCCAAGTGCTTCATTCCAGCAGCCCAATTGACCTTGTTACTATCAGCACGTACATACTGTGGTAAAGTAAGCAAGAAATACGCATACGGACTTGGACGGTGGGGGGGGAGGGGGGTATCGAGTCAAAAACCTACAAGTATGCATATCCTCATGCCATGCAGTCCAGAGTGGCAAAGCTCCGTGCCTTTCGGAAGACTGCCGATGGCAAACGGCGTCTGCTTGTGCTCGAGGGCTTCCAACTTTCAATGTATGTAGCCTGGTACCCGTAGAGTCCGGATACATGATCCCATCACCTGTCCGCGCGTTCGGGTCGCTGCTGCATGCTTGATGGAGACACGTACAGGCAACGTACGTACGAGTAGACCTGTAGGGCCCTCTCGGGTGCATAATGTGGTGAGATGGGTAGATGCAGAACGGGCCAAAAAGAGGGTTGCACTGTCGGCCCACGCGCTGTCGCATTCGCAGAGGGCCATTCGCTGCACGCCGAAATGCGCCATGGCTATGGCTACAGACTAGATGGCTCGATGCTATTCTTAGCTCTCGAGGGCGGCAGCCACATGTGCATGATGCAAGCTGAAGGAAACAGGTGACACGGGCACCTTATTGGCATCTTCAATCTCGCCAGGGCGGGCGAGGGAGAGGGCAGCTGCGTTTGGCCAGAAACACAGCCTGGCCGAGGTTGCGGTTCTCACTCATGGCTTCATAAGCAAAGCGTATCCATGCTCGCATCAAAAACCCCGACGGAACCTACTCGTACTGTACAGTACAGTACAGGCTTGTCCCGGCCACGGCGAAAAGGGGCGGTCCCATCTCTTGCTTGGCATGCCGGTACTGCATCATGGACTCCGGCGACGTGGGCGGTTAAGCCCTCACTCAACCTTGAAGCACGTTTGGCAACATTGAAACAGCACCAGCAACTTGAGCTCACCTGTCAGCACTTCTTTGCAAGTAGGCTATGTTTCAGAGCGCAAGGGAAACGTATTGCCAGATTAGGCAGTTACGCCATGTCCTGCGTGTAGGGGTCAGTCAGATCAGCCACTGTGCATGCCAGGAGTCACACGGAACGTCGAGGACGTCCAAGTCGCGGATGACTGTGGCAGAGAGAAGGGGGCAGATGTTGGAACAGAGACGCCCCCATCATGCTACTGTAACAATCAGGGCACCCGGCTGATAGAATCTGCAGGTGATTAGCCCGTGGGGAGAACAGAATACTGTAATAAACAAGAGACACACCTTGACCCATCCATCGTGGGGAGGGTTCCGGATTTCATGTACATGCTACGCTCTTGGCGGGTAGATTTTGTGGGCAAATCTTTCCGCAAGCCATACTTCGCCCATCATGTATCAAAATAGTGTTAGTATTAGACAGTCGACCTCATTTCTTGCCTGCACACGTGCAATGAGTTGAAAGGCTCATCGGTGAATATGGAGCTTCGGAGCCTCGCGCTTCGGCACTGTGACGCTGCCAAGACGTAAATCTTCCATCCTTGTCCTCTTCACTTCACTTAGACCCATCTTGGACTCTTTTCAACCCCAAAGACATCAGTATCATGTGTGCCTTGAGCCGAGTGCTGTCTTACAGCGACCCCTGCGTAATAATAAGAGCGCAAGACGGAGTAAGTCGGTTTGAACTGACTGACTGACATGCTGCTGACGAATTATCACTGCCATGCTCGATTGGGCAGATCAAATGACTAGCTTGGCTCTGGCTGATGAGATAGCCGTCTTAGCACGAGGAGATCGCTAACCATCCGTTCGAGGGCTCCGATTTAAGCAAGCCGGCGAGAAACTAGTGCTCGTACGAGTACTAGTATATCAAAAGAAAAGAAAAAGCATCGTCAAGTGGTAACTAACTCGGCCGTCCTGCCAAGACCAACAAGCAGGTTGCGGCCAGGCACGCCACGTCTGAAACATGGCAGACGGCAAATACCCTGCGGTAACCCATTTGTCAAGCCAAACTCGTGCTTGTGCCTGCTCTGACGCCGTACTCGTACAAGGATATCATATGGCAGCAGAGAGGCGTGACGGGGCATTGCTGATATGGAACAAGCCCGGGGATGGATACATGTACCCATGATGATACTGGCGATGATGCTAGCGTTGCCTAGAACCAGAGGATGCCCAAGGAATCTAGCCCAGATGGTCAACCGGGGTGCATAAGCGATACCACAGTCTCCTCCGGGTAACCTGTACGTTAGTTTGGGGTCCCGATGGGCAAAGAACGCTCCCTTACTGTAATCTTGCCATTCCCACATGCCCACCACCAGGTCTTCACGTTCTTGTCACCCAACCCA